AAAATGTGAGGCCCCAGGGTAAGTGTCAGAGCCCGGGTTTTAATTTTTTTTTTTTTTTGATGCCAAACCCCATATTCTTAACCACTAGACCATTGCCTTTATCCCTTATTTCCTCCTGCCCACCTCCCACCCCCTTTCTGTACCTGAGCTTGCCAGGGTGTCCATCCCTGTGCTCATTTTCAGGTCTAGTCCAGCGTCCTTGAACACAGCAAGTCTGTCTTTTCCACTGCCTGCTGTGCAGCCAATGTCATGCTCCTCCACCACATCCCAGATCTGGGGGTCAAGAGACCTGGTGGTCAACCTGGATTTGGAGCTTATATGACCCCTCCAGGGAAGGTGTAATAGTGCACAGTAATTGCTGGCTCATCATCAATAATTCTCACACCATTTCCCATTTATTGAGCCCTTACCACCTTACAATCTCTTTGCTGTACACTAACTCCTTGAATCCTTGTAACCATCAATGTTGCCCATTTTACAGCTGAAGGTGAAGCTCCAGCTACAATGTCCAGGCAACCTTTTGACCCAAAACCCACATGATCTCACCTTCTTCTGTGTGAGCTTGTGTTTGCTGTTCAAGACATAGACAGCCTTGTCCACTGCCACCAGCCCCACTGTGGCCTCTGCATCACCTGTCACCTGTATTTCCACCTGGCTGTTGGGCTCCAAAGAATCAAAGAGGTCTTTATTCTTTAAGCCAACTTTCAGCTGAGGATGAAAAAAGAGAGATGTCAGAAAAAGGGGCTCATACATTACCAAGGGGCTTCCCCAAGTCCACTTTCAGCTTCATGTTTCTTATGGTTCTGATGGAGCATTAGGGAATGAATGTCACCAGGCCAATCCCAACTCCACACATTTACTTGCATCTTCTATAGCCCCTAGGTTGAGCTTTTAAGGACACATCTCTTCCTCTTATACTCACCTGCCCCTGTATGAGGGGCCCTTGGACGTGGACAGACCCTCTCTCAAACTTTATGATGGTGATGTACAATTTCAAGGAGTTTGGCTCACCGTTCCCATGCATCTGTCATTCACATCGATCCATATAGAATCAGCCACCAGTTCAGGGTCTTGGCCTGTTCCCCGGGGCAGTAAATAAAAGGCCAGGATGCGGAAGGAAGGCAGCATCTCTGAAGTCACATCAATAATGGCTGATGTGTAGACACTCCCATGACTTTTTAACTGATGTTTGGCAGACACGATCTGACCCTTACTCAGGACCTTGGAGACAAGGGAGACCAAGGATGAGAAGGGTAGGGCCAGCCCACAAAGGAGGTCCACAGTCCCTTTGCTTCAGCCCCTTGACCTGATCCCACCCCAGATGGTTCCCACGTTTACGCCATTGTTCATAGTCCCTCTAACCCAGCTAACCAAGATCGTGCCAGGGAAACAATTCCTTAACTCAAGTCTCGGTCCTAGTCCCTCACCAGGATGGTGAAGTAAGTGATTTGCTCCTTGGCTTCAGGGTTCTGATGCCTTGTATTGAGGCTCAGCTGGACGTTTCTGTTAATTTCTGTGCCTAATGTCTTCACATCGATGTGCAGGAAGTTCCCTGACCCATTCTGAGTTGAGTAAGGCCAAGCTGTCATCCTGGCTGATGCCTGCTCCTCTGGTCGGAGAGCTTCATCAGTTTCCACCTGGGGAGAGCGATGGGTAAGTAACTCCCAACCCTTCCAGCTCATACGACCCCACCATCCCTGCCCTGTCAGGTTGGTACCAGTATAGGGAGCTGCTCCAGATCTGCATCTGTGTTTATGGTCAGAGCGGCCACTCCATCGACCGAGGTATAGGCTTTGTGGGTTTGGCAGCGGATGAGGACTTTGTAGGCTGGGGACCCATCAGGATTTGAGACGAAGACCTGGGGTGAAATGTGTGGTGAGATGAAGGACAGGCATGGGGATGGCCTGGTGTGGGAGGTGAGAACTGGGAATGCCATCTGGATAGGACTGCCTGGTACAGTTGTGCAAGTTGTGCACTGAACAACACCAGGGATACCATTTATATTAGTGTCTTTACGAATGGCACTCCCTAGAGTTTTGCAGTGTACAACCATATGTGGTGGCCCTGGGTGCTGGTGTGCCCATGGGATGAGGGTAGGGTGGAATTAGGGGCGGAGAAGGTAGGAGGAGACATGGAGAGCTTGAGGATAACTCAGAATGGGACTGTAACTAAAAGATGGCTCTTGTTTTCTTTATGCCCATCAGATGTCTCGAAGTCACCCAAATGAATGTAGGAGAAAACAGCAAGCTTGCTGTGCAAATATACCCTCAAGATAAACCCCTAAGCACCACATTCCAGCCCGACTGTGACTCCTAAACCCCCATAGAGAAATTCTGGAGTCACCACTGTACTTTGGAGAGACCTGGGTTAAGACTTGAGGGAACCATGGGATTGGTCAGAGGGGCAGGATGAGTTCAGTGTGGGTTTTTATTTCCTGTGGGAGGGGGGCCGCTGTTTGGGGGTGGGGGCCCTGAGTCTCTGGGTGGAGTGAACCCTGACCCTAAAATGGAAGGGCATCCCCGGCTTGAAATACTGGGGTGTCTTGATGAACTTGATGTTGTATGGGCTCCGGACGATCTTCACCCCTGAGGTTTCGGCCTGGACCATCTCACCCCCTGTAGAGAGACATAGGGACCATGATGTTTGTGGAGGAGGTTCAGTTTCCTGGAGGAGTGGTGGGCTGCTGGGATGGGAGGCCCATCTTGGTGAAGACAGAGAAAGACAATAATATAATTTCAGCCCCTGCTAGCCCTTCTGGCATTTTTCCATTTCTCTGATGAGAAAACTCAGGCAGGAGGTGGCCCACGGTCACATGGGCAAAATGTCTGGGCTGGGGAAGAACACAGTGTCTTGACCTCAGCCAGGGACTTGAGGGTGGCACCTGAGGAGAACACGGTGACGTTGACAAAGATTGAGGCCCCAATGAAGTCTTCTTCTGGGCCTTGGAATGCGGCCATCAGTGTGTCCTTTTGGAGGGAGACGTGACCCTGGCCTTTTGATATCTGCTCTTGGGACAGGAGAGAGGAGAGGAGAGATGGTTTCTTGGGAAGTGGAGGAGGGTTGAGGGAGGGGAAGCTGGGGAGTGGTCTGGGCTTGGTCACCTCCACCCTCTGCAGGGAGCTTTGAATGGGGATCCGGCGGGAATCCAGTTTCACCCCGAAGATGGCCAGGGCATGTCCATCCACAGGCTTGTTGAATATATACCTGGGGAATAAAGGGCCATTACACTGGCTCTGAAGCACCCACACAACCTCATGTAGCTGCAGAGATGGCCTATATGACCTCACAGGGCTGCAACAATGGCTGTGAAACTTTGGGAGGGGGAAGAGGTGACCCCTGACAACTCAGATTGTTTCATTGCTGACCCACAAAACCCTGGGAAATGACAAATATGTTGCATAAAGCCTTGTGAGGTTGTAGATATGGTCTAAGCAACCTCATGAGATGGTAGAGGTAGTTTATACAGCCTTATGGAACCACATAGAAGTCTGCACAACCCATGGGGTGCCAAAGGTGTCCCATGCAGCTTATTCACCTGTAAAGCCGCAGGAATGGTCTGTATAATGTTAAGAAGTGAAAGATATGGTCCTTACAATCTTAGGTGGATAACTGGGCCTGTACAAACTCGTAGAGCTGTGGAGATGGTCTATAAATCTCACAAGGCAGCCAATGTGGCATTTGCAATTTCATAGAACTGCAATTGCAATCTTTGGATAACCTAACAAGATACCAAAGGTGTCTGTGCAACCTTGTGGACCCTCAGTGGTGGTCCAAAATATGAGATGTGGTACAACTCCATTAGGTAAACAAGGTGGCCTGTACAATCCCCAAAAGCTGAAGGGATGGTCTGCACCACCTCACGGATGGCAGACATGGTCTGTACACCCTTACAAATGGCACACGTGGTCTGTACAGCCTCATGGGACAATGTAGGTGGCCAAGAACATCTGGTAAGTGGCAAAGAGTGCCTCTACTATGCCCTAAGTGCTACGGAAGTGGCCTGCTTCTTGCCACCCTTCAGTTTGTTGGCGACCTTGGTTCTCTGACCAGGTTGGGGTAAGGGGACTCACGAGGCCTTGATGTTCACACCCATGGCTTCATCGCTGAGGTAGAAGAAGGTCTTATTTGGGATTAGGCGGACTTCAAAAGATGGGAGCACTGGGTGGAGAAAAAGCAGTGGATACCCTCAGCATTTTGCCATCCCCCCCGCCCCCCGCCATGTCCTCCCTGTCCCACTCCTTCCCCTGCGACCCTGGAAACCCCCAAGGGCTGGAAAATGCAGTCCTGTTCACCAGCTCCCTGCTCGGACCCGTGAGATTTCCTTTCCATTTCCAGCCCTGTTTCTGGTGTGTCCCGCCTCGCCCTCCCTGTCACACCCTGCTCACCATACTCCTTTACATCAAAGGCTGCCTTGAACTTCTGCTTGGCTGCACTTTGGTAACTGGCTTCAATGCTCCAGGTGCCAAAACTGAGACACAGAAAGTTAGGAGAAATGGAGACTGAGGAGACCCTCCCTCCCTCCGCCCCCAGGGCTCCCAGCAGGGCACCTGATGAGCTCTGGGAGATAGAAGGAGCTCATGAAGAAACCTCCTTCGGCCAGCAGATCCTGGCTGATCACAGTGATCCCTTCAGGGTTCTGTGAGGACAGAGGGTGGGTGGTTCATGCCCTCATGTCTTCAGTACATGATATAACCCTGGTGTCTGGGAGCCACCCTCCCATCAGGAGAGGCCACCTTGATGTCCAGAGTGAATGTCCTGGTCACAGGATCCATCTTGTGGTTCACAGTGAATATCCTGTATTGAACTGGAGGAGGAGGAAAGACTCTGAGCATTGGATAGAATTTGGAGAAGGGGTGTAGTCATTAGGGTCTTGGGCAAGAGGGAGACATTGGAAGGTGGAACATGTCAGGCATTGGGGGGCTGGGGGTGAGAGTCAGAGCCTGCCCCAGGCCAGGAGCCCAGAGGATATACCCAAGTGCTCAGGGGTGTAGATGGTCTTGTCTGTCTGGATGAAGATGTAGCCAGCATGGGGAGCCACCAGCACCACCTTCTCCATGAACGAGGAGACGGAGGTGGGTGCCCAGGTTGCCTTGATGGTGACATATTGCTGCCCCGGTTGTGCGGGGTACACCAGGGTCTCGGGGATCTAGGAAGAGATGCCATAGTCCTCAGGTCCTGCCGGGGTTTCCATCTCTGGTGACGAAACCCTGGACCAGGTTTTGGGAGAAGCAATTGAATGGGGGCCTCTGGCTCTGCCTTTGGAAGCAAGGTCACTGTGCGGCTGTGAAGTTTTCTCTTGCACTAGGACATCCAGCTAAGGGGCGTGGGGATGCAATCCAGTCCAAGCTCAGTTTCCTGAGCCGCCAGCAGAGAACACCTTTTATTAATTCACATAGAGGCATCATATGGGCTAATCGTAGCCCTTCTTAGAGCCCAGATTTAGGGGAATTTGGGTTTCCAAATGAGCAGGACGTGAGAGGAGCAGTAGGTATAGCCAAGCCCTGCCTCCTCCCCAGTGTCTCTTGTGGGAAGTCCCTCTACAGTCTGCCCCTATCTACCTTTGCTGCTGGCCCAAAGCCTCCCTTTGTGGCCACCCATCCTGGCCTGTCACCTACCATCACGGATGCCTGCTTCATAAAATGGTTTTCTGGTGAGAGAAGGAGCTGGCTTCTAGTCAACATTGTCCTCTTCATGGGAAAGTCCCACACAGTGAGGTTCACTTCGAGCGTCCCAGTGAGGGGCTGCCTGGAGTCCGAGTGAGCCTGCACGTGGATGTTCTCGGGGGTGCCGACCCGCAGGACTCGGGGGGCCACCAGGATGTACCTGCCAGTAGACCAACACAGAGGCATGGGGGTCTCTACTGCGGGAGGCATCCGTAGAAACACATGGAGTCCCATGCAGGGAGTTATGAAGACAACAGATGTGCAGGCAGCCAGCCAAGTCCCTTCGGTTTCCCAGACTCACAATGGTTCAGCATGGGCGAGGGGGATTCTCAAGAGCAGCAGAATCCATCCCAGGGGCCAGGGTACATCCATGTCAGTGAGAGAGTGATGTAGGGCCACTGGCCACAGATGCCTGTCTTCTTGTAAGCCCCAGCTCTGGTCTGTTTGCTTTGACCTGTCCTGGCTGAGTTAATATTAAACAGACATGGAGAGTTCCAATGGGAGCAAAAGGGGCTGCTCCTCCCTTCTTAGGTAAACCTCTATTGGAGGGTTGGGAACAGTTGCATTGAGAAATGTTCCAGCTCCCCACTTGGGAGCCAGGGTGGTAGGGGGTGTCCTTTTCATGAGCCAGGGGGTTCTATGCTGAAGCCCTCCTCTCTCCTAGCAAAGAAACTAGGCTACTTAGAAAGAGGAACTTGACTCAAGGCTTGGTAGAGATTTCCGGCAAGGCGCAGGAGGAAACAGGATTGTCCCCTCCTCCGCCCTTGCGAAATCAGTGAAAATTTCTGGGAGCCTCACTCAAATGGGAGTAGTGTAGGCATTATGTGCTCATTTCTCAATCACAGGCCTGAGAAGCCATATGGCATTTAGCCGTCTGGCCCCAGGATCCACCATAATGGCACCTTCTAAGAACCGCATGGGTCAAATCCTCTTGCTCCTGGGTGTTTCTGCACCCAGCACACACTGTATGGTTTTCTTCCTTGCAGGAGACAATTATGCTTGGTAAACTGTGACCATTGTCCACGGTCCCTAAATCATGCCAAGCTCTCTGGCTTCCTTTTCCAGAAGGCAAATTATACATATTAAACCAGGGACAAAAACAGATCATGCTTGAGGCATTCCTAGAAGAAAGCTTTCTCTGTCCCAACATTATTCTCACTGGCTGATTACGGCGCCTATTAAAGATGTTGAGCCTGCTTTGTGGTGTTTGTCTCTTAGAAACAGGCGGGGTTGCAGATAAGTTTGTCTGGTTTTTCCTTCTTTAGTGAAGTCAATACCACTAGCTTGGGGGTGTCTTGCCTATTGGAGGGCCCAGGTCTCCTAAAACAATGATAATATACATTTGTCCAATAGAGAGTCATAAAGTGTTTACTAGGAGCCCAGCCTTATTCAGCACGCTGGAGACACAGGAGTGACCACAGTAGACAGAACCCCTGGCTGTGTGGAGTGCACATTGACTGAGAACTTACTTGCTAAGGGTCTAAGGTATCCTTTCTCCTTAAACCTCCCGGAATCCTGTGAATTAGGCTCGACGAGTGCCCATTTTCCAAACTATTTTTGTAGAACGCTGAAAAACCAAGTGTGTTAGAAGCAAAGGGGGCAGGTGGAATCTAGTCTTTTATTCCTCAGGCATTTTTGAGCACCTACTATGTGCCAGACGCTGTTTTATGTGCTCTGTGCACACTCACAGAAGTCTCACAGTCACTCTGAAGTGAGAATTAGCACCCACTATACAGATGAAACTGAGGCACCAGGAGGGTGAGCCCCTTGTTCTGTTTAAGGCAAGTGAGCTGTGAGGACCAGTAATGATCTTAAATCTATGGTAAACAATCTCTTATGAAAACAAGAATCAACAGAATCAAATTAAGGCCTGGACCGGCAAACAGGTGAGACCTAATTTAGAAGGTTCTAGAACATTGGCGTTCATTTGGGGTGGCGTGTTCCACCGCTGTCTCAAGCTTTCAGGGAATCTCCACCAGTTCTGTTCAGTGGAATAGAACCCTTGGCCTGGATGAGCTTTCCCCTTCACACCTGCATCCCCACACCAGGGGTCCATGTCCCCTTACCCCCATTCTGGGGGCTCCCCGGTGCCCAGGACAGGGGGTTGTCCAAAGGCTAGGGGCAGCCGGGTCTCTATCCTCAGTCTCTCCCACCTTTCCCTCCAGGCTGGGCCCCTTCAGCAGTGCCAGCGTCTGTCTTCCCCGTGAGAGTCCTCGCCAGGTAGGCATGTATGGGGGTGGGGAGGAGCCTTTTGAAGAAGGCTCAGGCCTGCCGCTCCTTTGAGTTTGTTTGACTTGGGGGTGGTCTCAGGAAGGAAAAACCTGCCCTTGGGTGCATGAGCAGCAGAGGAGGTGGGGGGAGGTGAGGAGTGGGGGGTGGGGGTGTTGTCTTTTGGGATATAGCCTTGCCATCAGATAAACAAATGGATGGAGGCAAAAGTGGATGCTGGGTGAATGAATGATAGCAGGAACTCACATCTCACACATCTGTCCCCTCAACCCCAGGGGTTATCCACCTCAACCCCAGGTCCCGCAAAAGAAGAAAAATAAGCATTTCTTCAATTACTGTGTATTGTGTACCTAGCCTTGTTGTAGGCGCTGGGAACACAGCACTGAACAGGACAGAAACCCTTGGCCTTGGCCTTGTGCGGTGGATATTTACTGTAGTCATGTTCACCTGGACTGTTTCTTTCAATCCGCTCAGCTGCTTAATACACGGACCCATTTTTTCAGATGAAAAAACGGAGGCACTGGAAGGTGCAGTGTCTTGCCCAAATTTTGCAGCTAGAAAACTGAAGCACAGGGAGGCTGAATGACTTTCCCAGGGTCACAGTAGTTAAATAATGGAGCTAAGCTCCTGAACCCAAGTTTAACAGGGAGGAAGTTAGAAAGTGGGAGGGTAGCTGTGGGCTCCACCCAGGTCCGCTCCAGCCGTTAATGGTCAAGTCCAGCCTCTCACACTTGGCCACGAGAGAGCGCCAGCGAGCCTCCGGA